GACCAGGACCAATCGGACTTGGTCTGATAGAAAAGTTAAAGCCCGCAGCGGTTTCATCACGGAGGGCTTTAGTCTCCGCTTGTTTATCGCGGCGGGGTCTAGTCACGGGGCATCGATTCTTTTGGCTGGTATCGATTCTGTAATCTCCTACTCGAGGTTCAAGTCCAACTGGGCAGATTATGGTGATGGTGGGGGGGGGGGGGGGGGGGGGGGGGGGAGAGGGGTATAATGTTTTGTGAGGGTGGGTGGGTGGGTTAGATTTTGCTGGTGGGGTACGTAGGGGGTATACTGTGTTGTGATGGTGGGTGGAGGAGTTTGTGTTAAGGACAAACAGTGAGGCATGTATATAATCATAAAAAATAATAATTGAAAAGTGCAACATATAACTACAGTTGTGAATTTAAGAAGTTTAACGTTTGGAGAGAATATCTTGACAAAATGGCCGCCGGCTTGTCCTATAAACTGTCAAGATTTCGTTTAAAAAAATTCTCATCGCTTTGATTTAGAAGTAACGAGAACTAACCTCGAGCATGATGGGTAATTAAAATGCTCCTTTAGGGTATACGCTGAGCTTGAGACAGTCGAAGTGCCCAAAAAGTAGCCAGTCTAAAAGTCCATGCCGGAGGCAATGTAAACCCTAAGACAACCTAAACCCGAAGACAACCTAAACCCTAAGACAACCTAAACCCGAAGACAACCTAAACCCGAAGACAACCTAAACCCCAAGACAACCGAAAACATCATAACAATTCGAATGCTCGAGAAATCTAAAAGCTCAAATCTTGTGCAGTCTAAAAGCCCTATACAATTTTAAATTTCGAGAAATCTAAAAGCTCATTACAATCGAATAGCCCATGACGGAATTGATCAATTTGTCAGCAGTTAAAAAAATTTTCATACCAGAACTTCAACCTCGTGTTTGTGTGTCGACGGTTTATCAAGCAAACGATAAAGTTTGAATTGGTCTTCTCTGCCACATTGCATGTTTGGGATCGCAAAGAATGAAACAGTTAAAAAAACGAGCTCATGTCAAGTTGTTCTGATGTTGAATAACCCCACAATCTCATCTGGCGTCGGGGGAGCTGGGCTAAATCCCTATCATACAGCCATAAACTCCGATGATTATGTCACGGGGATCACGGCGAGTCGGTGTGATCACAGATCACGTGGGTGTTGGCCTGGGGTGATCACGTGATGGAACTCGCGGCCATAAATCACGTCACCGTCTGCTGGTGCCATCCTCTCGTCTGCTGCTCCGGTCTGATGATCATCGCAGACTTAAATCAGGAACAAATTGGACGTCGAATCTCGCAATAATATATAGATTTCGCATTCTACGTAGATCCATGTTGGATCCAAATGTACTAGAAAGAAAAATTAATAAAGGAACAGTCTAGGTATTGAAGTTTATCCAAAAATAAAATCTTTACTAATGTGATTTTCAATGATTTAAATGAGTTCAGTGATGTTCTTTCTTCGAGTGTACTTACTAATACTACAAACCCTTTTGTAGAGTAAGAAAGTGATTTTATATAACCGAACTTTATATTTGTGTAATTATAGTAGAAGACTGCGGAAAAATCTGTCTAAAGAAGTTGTTCTAGAGTAAAGTTCCGCGTGTGGTCACACATAGCGAAAAATTCCGAACTCCCGATTTTCATCGGGCGCTATTTTGTAACAGTTTCACACAGAAACAAACCGAAAGTACTTTATTACTCCACTGCCATTCTACTCTAATATGCATGGGTTATTTTGTATTCATACGCATAGTATTTGAGATATTCATGTTTTAGTAACGAACCTCCTTGTGATCTACTTTTCCCCCCCTTTTTTTTGCCTGTGGTCACCTGTCCCTGCTTGTGATCACTAGCGTATTTTTTACGTTTTGATCCAATTTTAATAATTGAAATAAACATTTTACTCATTTAAACGTGTTGATGATTGTATAATTAATTAATAGATTTGCAAAACCAAATAATAACACGTTAATTAAATTTATTAACTACAAATTACGGATGACCCAGTGATGACTCAAGGGACGCAACTATTATAATCATAACAAAGGGACGTAACAATCACTAACAAGACAAAACGTAACATTTGCTTCGATTGGATTGTATGTAGAGACACAAACTAGATTTAGAAGAAGTAGATGATTAAAATAATTTAAAACAACAGAAAAAAATAGAAATTATATAGGTTCTAGACTTAGCTTGAAATATAGAGCATCTAGATCTAGGCTAGTCTAGCTCAAGTCATTGGTGACCACAGCGAGGGTAAAACACAAAAATCGTTACCCCAGCTGTGATCACCCCCATTTCACCACTAAGATTCTTTTAATAGCCTTAACTACAGTATTTTCAGTGTCCCGCACATAAATAGAAGCTATTTATAGTTAACCTAGTTATAAAAAGCTTTGATTGGTTGGTTTTATTCATCTCATCCGGGACCTAGTGCTTTTCATACGGGGGAACTAGAATCGCCTACGACGTCATACCTCGAAACTTGAAAATTTAAAAACTCATCTTTCAGAAGGAGGGAAACAAAAGAATTTGACCTGGATATATTTAGAAATGGACATGTTTACAGCAGATATTGGTAGTTTCGTATAAAACATCCAAACAAATATTATACGAAGCCATAAACAGGAATGTGACTACACCGTGGTTTTGACCACACGCGGAACTTTACTCTAGATCATCAATTATGACGTCAAAGCTGACCTTCCAAACAGGGGCGATAACTAAAAGAATGATCTTTAAAAACAAGGGCAATAATCGTATAAAAAGTGGCAATTAATTAGCGCTTAGCTGTGGTTTATGGCGCGATACTGTAAAGGAGGATTGGAGTTAAACGCCGGCTCAAGGCCACTTCTTCCAACCGGTTCTGACTCATTCAAAAACACAACCGGAAAAATAAAATGAAAAACATGCCACGGCTAGTAAAACTTGATCGAGGCATTTTAAACGTCAGATTATTCATCGCTTTGTCTTAATGCTTTTTAACTTAAAAAAAAAGGAATTGTGTATACTCGTAAGAGCTTTGTTTTCTATGTTTAAAGTAAAACAATTCTTCAAATTGTTTTTGACAGTAAGAAGCACTTATCTTTGATAAGTCAAGAACAGTTCATTGAATTTTGGGATTTGAGTACGCCCGAGAAGAGTTGCTGAAAATTGTCCCAAAACAACTGAAGGTGATTTCTTTAAAATCACGAGTGGAAATTGTTAAATTGTAGGATTATTGTTGGAAATAACGTGGCTTTTATCTTTATGAAGGTGTGAGAAGTCTAGACAACAAATCAATGGCCGTAACTTTGAAATTGAGATCGTTAAGAGGAATTGAGGGAACAAAAAAAAACAACAAAGAAGTTAATTGGGGAGCTTGTGAATTTTTCCCCATGCATCAGTGAACATGGGTTTGATGTTAATTAGAAAAAAAGTTATCTTCAAAGAAATAGAAATAACAGTGTCCATCCCCCCCCCCCCCCCCCCCCGACCCTTACTTCAAATGAAAGTTATTTTTACTGCTGTCTAGGTCAACGTGAACATTGGGTTTAGTGTTTAGTTTACTTGGTGAATAGGGGAGGCGGTGGGGGGGGGGGGGGTATGTCAAACTTGGTCTTTTGAATATATGGTGGGAAGAGGCGTGTAACAGAGGGAGGGGGAGGGGAGGGGGATGAAGGGCGAATCTAACTCTGAACATGCAAAATCTCAAATCTACGATGTGTTCCGAGAAGTGTTGTGATAATAGCTGTATTGTTCCGTGACCTGGTTAGAACATCTGAGACTTTCAGCATTGTCAGCTTCAAATATTAGTTCCACAACATAGGTAAACAAAAGTGTAGAATACGGTGATAGAAAAGATGTTACAGCTATAGCCAGACGGGATTCGAACCCGCCACTCCACAACTCCAAATAACCACGTTTAACGTACTTATAGTGCAGAAGTGTAATGGACCGCCCACTCCACTTTCTGTACTTCTGGTGGGATTACGACTGGATTTATAAGTATAGTGTTGTGTTTGTTGACTTATCTACTTTAAACTTACGCTTGTTTCTCCTCTGAGCTTGGCTCACGGCCGTGGCAATATCAAAACTTAATTAGTTTATAAACCAACCAATCGATAGCCAATATCGGCGGTTATTTTTGTTAGTCACGGGGAGGAACCCACGTGTGCAGATTTTAAAACCCGTTTTAAAACCAAGGTGAATATCGGCCCTCGATGAGTGTACTGATTGATCGGCGGGTCGATTGATTAGTTCTACGAGCAGTTACAGAGATCAAAGCCCTGACATGGCGTGGTGGGCAGATAATTAATTGATTGATCGGTCAGGGTATAAAGAAAATCGATTTTAAAAAAAAAATGTACTGTATCAAAAAGTGGATTTAATGACACAAAAATAATGGCACGTTCGCTTAGATTAAATTTGATTTAAAGCTACAAAGCTTATTTACGAAATTCTGATTTTTTAAAAACAGAAGTCAGTTTCATATTGTAACAAAGCTTTTTTTTTTTCAAAAAAAGAAGTCAGTGCAGACTTGAATATATATAAATATTTATGACAATTTATTAACGAATTAAATTAAATAATACTTGAGAATACAAGAGTAGTTTAGTTTAATTTGGGGAGAACTGGGACAATGTATAGAAGTAAAATATGTTTTAGGGAATTAAAGGAAAATATGTTTTAGGGAATTAAAGGAAAATATGTTTTAGGGAATTAATGTAATACATGTTTTGGGGAACCGAAGTAAAATATTTTGGGGAACTGAAGTAAAATATGTTTTGTCAGATGGAAGTGAAATATATATTAGGACGCCAGTAAAGGGTTATAGGCAAAGTAATCAAAATTTTACACACTGCCCTCACCCCAATTGTCACATGTCACAATACGCCAGTCCCCCTACCCCCCCCCCCCCCATACCCTTGCACTGATGACCCCTCCACAATACTGCTCCCCCCATTCAACTCATTCAACTGACACAGGTGAGTGACTTACCTGTTGAGCAGCAGGTACTTGCCCTTGCCGTCGTGGCTGATGCAGTGGCCGTAGGTTGAGATGTTGTGGGCGTGGATCTCAATGTCCCTGACGCCACTCTGGTACCACTTCCCTCGCCAGGCCTCGGGGAATGTGCACTGTTTGGCGTCTGCAAGTTGATCAAAACAATTTGTTAACCTGTTGTTTGTTGTTTTTTGCTTTTTTTTTGTTGTGTTTTGTAAGTTAATATTGAATAAAATATTTTAACTAGATGCATGGAGATGCGAATAGAAGATGTTAGTCTGAACAGGAAAATAGATTTTCCCATCCTACATTCCCCCCCCCCCCCCCCCAATATATCTGGCGTAGGTAGGACGAACACATAGGCCATTACTTCTCTATTATAATGAACGAGCCGACCCGCTGCGTATCATACGCCGCTATTTAGTTGTTTTTTTTTCTACTTTTCAGTAATTTATAATTTGTGAATTCGACAGTACCAATGCTGCCATTGAAAATATTTGCTTAAAAACACTACCCCCCCCCCCCCCCCCCCACGTGAAAGCAGCCTCCTCTTAGTTACCTCCTCTAAGTTTAAAATCGTTTCAAACTAAATTATCTGCCCCTAATAGCCGTCACCAAACCCGTCTCTGTGATTGTAAAATGTAAACAGAGTGAACACAACTCACCAGACAATGTGGGGGCGGGGTGGGGGTGGTTGTGATATTGATATAGAGGAAGAGAGGGGACTGTAAGGCGATGTTGCAGCTTGTTTTCTAACGGCTCGAAGAAGAGAATTATATATATAGATGTAGTATGTTGCCTACACACATCTTGACTGTAAATGAAGTTGTTACACGTGCACTTTTAAATGGCTATGTGTAGTAAGTATTAAGTTGTATGCGTGTGTGGAGATGTGGTATAGTGGTATGTGTTGCGGGAGTGTTCAGTATTGTGAAGTGTTACGTATTCTCTGGGCGTATCGTGGTACGTGTTGTGTAGGAGTTTTAAGCATTGTATTACATATTCTGTAGGGGGAATGTATTGGATATTTGTTGTAGGGGTGGTAAGTACTGTGAGTATTAAAATTTTTTGTGCCGTAGGAGGTGGTGAGTATTTTTGTGAGGGACAGGTGTTGTGTGGGTGGGATTTTGTGAGGGGTTAGTGTTGTGTGTGGGTGGTAACTGTTGTCCACGCAATGAGTACGTTATATGTGCACAAAAGTAAACATATAGCGTGAGTGCGTGGGCTGTGCGTGTGTGCGGCCCATTCTGTAAATCCCGAACAACATGGATATAATTGTTGCTTTATTTCATTCATATCGCTCGAATCGTATACGCTTTAGAAACTCTTTTTTTTTTATCAACAAGACAGCGATATCAGGGAGGAATAAATTCGGGGAAAAATAGGAGTTAATATCTTATTCTCTCCCTTTGAACCTTGGAATGTTCATGTACAAGCTAGCCCGCGTGGAATAAGGGTAAAAAAAAAGGTTCGCGAAGACACAAAATACCAAGTTTGTAGAAACGGGCAGGCTAATGGTGAAATGAAACGACGGCAGAAGATGGGTGTGTTGCAGAGAGGAGCGAAGGATGGGGGGGGGGGAGTGAGAGAGATTTATTAGAGAAAACAGAGAAATGGAAAGTTTAAGGAGAAGGGAAAAAAATTATTTCTAGCCTTGATCAGGCTTTCATTGGTCGGCTGATACATTGGTTTAAATGTTATTTTGTTGGATGAATGGTTGGCTGGTGTGTGTGTGTGTTCGGGGGGGGGGGGGGACGGGGGGGGGGGACTGAGTCAGACGAAACTTTGGTGAAGAAAAAACAAATCTATTACAGTGGAATGGCAATTCTTAGATATTTTGGCTAGACAGGGTAAAGGGGGATGAGAGAGATTAAATACTGTGAACCCTGATTTGAGGGGGGGGGGGGGGGGGAGAGATTAAATATGGTGGCGATTGATTGGTTTGTCCAGTGGATCAGGTTCATGTCTAATTGTATCAATATGTGGGCCTACAGTTTAGTACATTAATGTTACATTCACAACCAAACTGGCGCACAGAGGCCAATACACATTCAGTGTAAAGAAAATGAAATCTTAAAAAAAAATTAATTAATAAAAAAATTAATAAAATTATTTAAAAAAAAAACCAAATAGAAAAATAGTAAATTTGCATCAAGAAGGACAAATGTATAGTTGAGTGGCTATCATCTCGATGTTTTCAGCGCAAGTTCCGGTCACATGGGAGAAATAATATGAAACATGTGAGTAACCTATTACCGATAACTCATGAGCTAGCTCAGGTCAACGCGTTCAAAACCGTGCGATATGAAGCGTCGTCCTATATTTACATTAACACGATAATCTTCCTCACAATTTACACTCATTACATCACTCCGCCGTCCCAATCTTCCTTACAATTTACATTCATTATATCACTCCGCCATCCCTTCAACCAATACATGTCTAGGCCGCCATGGCGTCTCCGAACTATTTTTTGTGGCGCCCTCTTCAAGCAAGGATGTTGGGGGTATTTTATTGTTTGTGTGCAGATATATCGATTGCGTCTTTGAACAAAAAATTGAATGCACATTTTTTTTTTCAAATTGTAAATTGAGAAAATAGTGTAATGTAAACGAATCGATATTTTTTGGGTTAGCTAAACAGACATATAATGTTGAGAAAATGTTGGATTGGACGAAATAAAAAAAAAACAGGGTTAGGGTTGAGTTTCTTAAGAGGATACTCGAGTTATTGGTATGTCCTATATTTGTAACAACTTATATAGAACATCAAATCGTCGAGTTGATCTGGCATCCCATGTACGTCACAGGCGGTAGCCATTGTTGAAATGCGGGTAAAAATAAAAGCTTTATTAGAGAAAACTTTACTTGTGAGATATAAGAAGGAGGAGGGGAAAAAAACAACAAAGGATACAATTTAAATCCTGATATTGAGTTACAACTGGTGTTGGATTACATTCTCTTGTTGGAGTAGACATTTACGTATTGATTAATTAGAGTACAGCAAGTTGCTTCTTGTGATGCTAATTAAGCTAAAGATACCGGGAAAAGGCTAAACATGACGTCATCATTCGACTCAACAGAAACAATTTTTTTTTTAAATTAAAAATTTTAAAGCATCTTTTTAGAAAAGACAATTTTTAAAAGAAAAGAATAAACATGATATTCAACAACCAACTAGTAATTAGGGTCTTGTGATTAGCATTAGAAGCAGGAAGTATAAATGTAGGAGGAATTTGGATTAGTCCGTTTATTTTGGACTCTTCTTCTTCGTTCTTTATTTTAGTGTTGGAAGGGACTCCCTCTCACACAATTAAGTATACAGGCCATTAACTCCGATTTCAGCCTGCTTTTCTTTTTCGATTTGCTTCCATAGCAAACTACAAGTTAGCAGTTATTTGATTTTAGAGTTGTCTCTCCCAGAGGGTTCGAACTCGAGACTTTTCGGGTTGGCAACCATGAGCTTTACCGACTCGACCACGCCGACTCCTGTGTATTTTGGACAATTATGGAATTCATTAAGACAAGAGTCGACATATTTGGAGTAAAGTGATAAGATAGCCACGACTGAAAACAAGAAACAAGATGGAAGCCATAGCCTAGTGCCTTTGTCTATTTTTAGAAAGTCACAAGATTCAACACACAAGATGGTTTTAAGATTAGATATTAGACAAATTCGTGATAAAATTTGAAAAATAAAAATAATTAAAATTCTCCAACTGGTCAGCAACATACGCATCCAAAGCGCTAATTAATTACATACATAGACATGCCTGCAGGCATTTTATTCGAGTGACCTTGACTGTTATAATACTTGCAAATAAAAACAAAAACAAAAACCACATTTATAAAAGACCTATTTGTTTCCTTAATATTTCACATGAAATTTAGAAATCCTTTTGTAATTAGCAATCATCCTCGAAAATCTCAAAACTAGAAAATGGAGAGAGATAAAAACAAATCCCTTAGAAACGTGTATAAATATATAATGTGCCAGGTTTCGTCCAGGTTTTCGTGTTAGCATCAGCCAAACTGGCCGGGAATATCAGAACTAATTAGGGAGTTTTTTTCTCAAACGCAGGGAACACTTGCTCCAATGTTAGCCCAGCAAAAAGGAGAATTCTCTCAATCTGTGGATAACAAGCGTCCACATAATGCATCTTTTAAGTGCCGCGTTATCATTTTCATGGTGGGAAAACCTGACCTTTAAGCCGTGGCGTTACTGCTATGGACATGAAAAATAATGTTAAACTACCCGTGCGTAAATATAAATCGCGTTGTTAACTTTTCACAACATTTCGATAAATAGCTTTATTTGTTTCCTACGGTTCCGTAACGAAGCAAACATGGCTGTTTTTGTTTTACTTTTATTTTCTTGTTCTGTGTTGTAAAAGCGCAATATATTTTTATTTCGACGAAGCACTTTAATAGTATGATGAAGTATCTTTTTATCAGATATTTTTATTGTGCCGTGTATGTTCCTTTTGGTCAATGTTTTCATTGTAAAACACGTTTTATAAACACGGTTATTATGTTTTCCACTGTATATACACGTGGCACATGTTATTGGTATCACGGCAAGTTCCTAGGTGTGGGCCTCCAAGTGTCATAGTTTCTCGTTCACCTTGTACAACCGCTACTGGTCACAATGTCGGATTTCGCTGCTAGTCAATTATTAATCAAATTAGGAAATATCTTTCGGTCCCGCGCATTGGTCTCACATCTTGGTCTCATGATTTTTATAGGACTTGGTCTTTTTTTTTTCACTTGTTGGTCTCACCTAGCAGTCGTGAGCGGAGTGGTCGGGTGTAAGAACGCACGACTGTAGCCTGAAAGTATCGAGTTTGATTCTGAGCTCGAGTCCGTAGGACGTCCCTTAGTCCACTTAGCTCATGTTAGGGAAGTAAAGGCGGCTGGGCATAGCGCTGAACATAATATCCCATCGTATGTTTGAGCATATGTTCACTTCAACTGCCCCATAGTTCGCCAGGTCCTATAGGGTAATTTTACTCAACAGTCTCAACAAAATAATGGTCCCACCTTTCTCACCAAATGGTCCCACTTGTCGGTCTCACCAAATGGTCCCACCTGTCGGTCTCACCTAATAGTCTCACCTGTGGCTGCTACATTGGTCTCACGATAATTA